AAAAAAATGAAAACATTAAACTCTCTCACGATTGAGTTGTTTAGTTTCTCACATTTAAGAGTACTTCCGATTGAGATGTCTCACTGAGATATTCATATATAAAAAAAAAAGAGACTACAACAAGAGTTTATCAAATGAAAAACCCATAGTCATAGTATAATAGTATTTCAATAAGATGCCGAGATATGCTCTAAGAATAGTAATATTAAAATATAGTATTAAAATAGTAATATGATAAATTTATAATAGTATCTCAATGAGATTCTGAGGAGGTGCATAGAATAGCTCAATAGCACATGGAAAATATATCCCCTGCAAAAGATGCTAATTGTAGCACGTAAATTTTCTGACAAGATCAAAAACAGATCTGCTGTGGCTGTAAACGAAAAATTGTAGTTTAAAAAAAAAATCGATTTTATATTTTCTTAACAAAAAAACATGTGAACATATAGAGAAATTGGGTTATATAACCAACAAAAAAATTATAATTCAAAACTTAACCAATTAACCTAATTTCAATAGATATGATTATATTATATGAGTTAATTTTGGCTAGATTCCTAGTTATTATTTTTTTTTGTTATTGACCAAATTAGCCCGAACATATATCCTAGCTGACCAAAAAATGTTTCATGTCCGTATTAAAAAAGGGAAATTGACAATTATAGCCAAGAAAAAAAACATGATCTAATATCTAATCAAAATACCTTTATGTAGTAAAACTATAGCCATTAGATTTAGCTCTTTTGCTTAGATATTATGTTTTATTTGTTTTTCTAAGTTATTTTTGCAAATAACCCTTAAAAAAAATGGGAGCATGTTGCTAATTGTCTGACAAAAATCATATACGAATCATGCAACTGTTTGATGCTTTCTTGGCGTTTGGAACACAATGAAGCAATTGCTTTATCAAAACTCAGAATCAGAGATTATGTTTTATAATGGGACAAGCAACAATTATTGTGTAATTTCTTTTGTGTTTGTATAGCCAATTTTTTTTTTTTTTGTTAAAATTGTATAGCCAATTTATGTTTTTTTTTCTTCTTGGTTTGTATTATTATCTGTATGACCATTCTATTGTTTTTAAAGGACAGATTTTTCTCATAGGATGTTTAAGAACAGCTTTGTTTTCCCTTTCTTTTCAAATTTAAATTTAAGATTATTATGTTAGAAAAAGGTTATTTGCAAGATAGCTCGGTGTAATGAAGAGTTTATGAATCTCTTTAGTGGAATTGGTCATAGAAACAGCAAGAAAGAAGGATAATAATTATGAAATTGTTAAAGCATAAGTTTCAATCCAAACCCAGTCTGATGAAGCAGTATGCAAATATATATAGTCTCAAAGATAATATAATAAAATGAAAAAACAAGGAATAGCGAAAACAGAATATAACAAAAAAAACACATAAATTAT